ACATTGAATGTCAGTCAGTGATGGACAGCACCAGATTGTTATCATTGGTGATTGATAGCTGTTCTCAACAGTGGACATATTGAGCCTGTCAGATAGTGACATGGACATATTGAGTTGTTTTTTGAGTATTGCAGTGTGAGTTCCTGTATCCCAGCCCTGTTGCTAAAAAGTATTCATGTTCTAGTTTTTGACCTTTGGTCATGACCATATAGTGTTTTGGTGGTGGGGAATCTAAGCATCTGCCTTTGCACCACTAAGTCAGTGTTGGGATCTAAAACAGATTTGCAATAAGTTGTGGTAAGTTCAGTAAAAATGAACTGAACTGTAAGAAGGGTTTTAAAGCAAAACACCAAACAGATGGGTGTGAGTTTGTCTAACAACTGGAAAGTTAATGTAGCAATTTTTTTTTTTTTAAATCTCGTGCAGTCCTTTTCTTTGGGTTCTTCTATAGCTTAGCTGGCCATCTGCTAATTGGAATGTTGGTGGTTCAATCCCTTGATTCTCCATTCTGCATGCCAGAATATAAACCCCAAGTTGGTGTTGGGGTGTGAATGCGTGTGAATATTCGATAGAAAGCACTTAGGTGAAAAAGTGCTTATGTGAATGTGTATGAAAGCACCTTGAGTGCTCAAGTAAAGTAGAACCAGTCCGTTTACAATTTACCATGACAACGTAACCAGTAGTAATACAGCTTTCATGTCCCAAAATAATCCACCAGGAATATGCACGAACACGTGATTCCTGCTAGATGCTAGCTCTATTTCGGCTTATAGAAAAACTGAACAGGTTATGCCCCATATGTCAATACTACTCTGATGGCTTTGGTTTTAGTTTTGAGTGATCTAAAAACCTCTACCCACATTTCGGACAGGAAGTGATGTTACCTTTGTAACAAAACACTCAAATATCATTGTGCTTATTTGCAGCCACTGACAATGAATTAGATCAGTTATTAGTTACAAGCTGCTATATTTTGCTAGAACAACTCAGCACTGGAAGAAGCTTCTGTGTGCATAAACAGTTCTGCATTCGATAACCTCACTGTTTGCTTCCAGAGGCTGCCCTTGAGCAACTATTCTTTCCAGCCATAAATGCCCTTTAATGCAGTCAAAATGAGGCGTAGGAGCTAGTAAGTGGTTTCCATTTGTAAAGTAAACTAACTCCAACTCACAATATCCCATGTAATATGGATGAAATGCATTAAGAATGAGGGGAAGAATACTGTTAGTGAATGGGTCAATTGCTCAAGGCTTCAAACCCCAAAACACAGTTTCTGTGTCTACAGTTTAACTGCAAAGCAGAGATCAGTATGCAAATTAAAAGTTAGTTATGCAACATTAAGTAGAGTGACCAAATATTTATGCATTATTTGCTCTTGTAATTAGCTTATATTCATTTATGCACCGTGGATGCGACTGCCTACACACATGCCAGCCTGTGATTTGTGGCTCTCAGACGAATTCACTAATCAGCTTTGACCTACTCAGAAAATATTAGGTTCTATTAGGAGCCTTGATTTTGTGTGTGTTACTTAGGTATATGCTTTAACTTATGAAACCACTGGCCCTCTTGTATTTTGCAGCTTTCTTTCCTTAAAAATCAGTTTCCTTGCTGTCTGATGTGGCAGTCTGCCCACAGTTGTTAGTTGTGATTGAGAGTCAGGAGATGCCACCTCAGTGAAAAGGGCTTTTTCATCCGCAGGTGGAAAGCAATCATAACTTCAATTTTTCAGCAGCTAAAAGTGGAGCAGCAGATCACACAATTCAGCAGTTCCTTTCTTGTTTCACTTGTGACTCAAAAGATTCCCCTTTAGGTCTCTGACTGTGATTCTGATGTTGTTTTTTTCACTTTTGGTCAAACTAACCTGTTCAATTTTTTCATTTTTCTTAGAGTGGTCCTGGCTGCTGAAAGCAAAAAGCTAGGTTGTCCTTTGTGCCTCCTGCTCATGTGTTGGCTCTTAAACATTCACGCACATCCATCCATCAAAATGGAAATGGAAAGGTCAACAGATTTACAGTACATGCCACAACCTGTGGGTTTGCAGAACCCTTAGAAAAAGTTTCTATTTCTATGCTGAAGGGCAGGCTTGCAGAAATATTCAGTTAAATTTTTGCATCATACTCATATTTTTTGACATAGTTCTTTGTGTGGTTGTTGTTTTTGTTAATGTCCTTTTGCAAATATCGATTATACAGTAAAAAAGTGAGACATTTCCTTTTAAAAAGTCTTAATTATTTTTGACAAGTCTTTGATTTCAGACTGGGGTTAATCAGGCTTCTTATTTTTTCTGCTATCAACATTTGTTTGAAATAAGATCTGCTGTTTATCAGCTGTAGATAGCTAACTAGTTAACAACCTACAGTTTAGCTACCCACAAGTACATAACTAGGCAACACGAGGTGGTTAGAAATTCAGTTTATGATAAGCGAGCTATTCAGTTAGCTGCTAGTGGCTAGCTAGCTAGCTTGCTACATAGGCTAGCTAGTTTGGAATTGGACAAAGACTTATAAAACATGTATAGGTTCACCTCTTCGTGTTTTAAAACTTTAATAGAAAAATTATCTGTGCAATGATAAACATGAACAGCTGTGGTTAAGAACTGTATATCATGTACTATATCTTTACATTGTGTATCCTTTTTTTTATAATACTGCATTGTTTTCCTTCTGTTGACTGTTTAATGTTGAGTTTTTGGAAACTGAACTTGAGGGGCTCTGAAGACACTTATTTATCATTCATAACTCAGCAAAACCCTAATTCACACACCAATCTATCATCTATATTAATCTAAATTGAAATTGAATACAAATTATCATACTATATTTCGTAAGACTTTAAACTAAATAGATATATGGTTATTTTTAAAAATGCAGGTTTCACCATGGACTCACTGCTGGAGACTACTACATACAATACATACTATAAAATCATTGAACATATTTTTGTAGAAGGTCTAGAAGGTCTATAGAAATCTTTATCTGTTTACAGCCACTGGTATACAGCTTCCAGCTGATTCTTTAAGTGTTAGTAAGCCTGCTTTCTGCAGTAAATTGGCATCTTTCTGTGGGTAACCATGACTTGACCTGCAACTTACAACAGTTTCTGAGAAGGTGCTATTTTTATTATGAAATGTGATAAGGTACAGATGAATCAATCAAAAATAAATATGCAAAATATGAAAGCTTAATGTTGTTGCACTTTTGCAGGGACACATTTGCTCTAAGAATAGGCACCTTTGTACACTGAAATATAGAATGACTAAGTTATAGAAGAGACAGAGAAGAGTTTGTGAAAGACCTCACACAACAATGTATTGACTAAGCTTTTTCAAGAAATGTACAACTGCACTGTTTTGTAGATTGTTTTTAAAGGTCCAGACGTTGCTTCTTCCAGTGTTTCAGCAGTGTAGATTAAGCCGTTGCAAGAGCCAAAATAATTATTTTCTCAAGAAGACAGTTAGAATCCCAGAGTTCGGCATTGAGCCAAAAATAGGTCGTTTGCAAAGATTTGAAACTTCTTGTTCAGACATATTGATTGTCTTACATCAGTCCATAAGTGCCAGACCTATGGAACATAAAATTAGACCGGAGGCTTTGGTTTTATTCACATCTCCAGCAAGGTTTTAGATTGGATGTATTTAGAAATCTGGAGTATCTGAAGCATCTTCATCATATTTTCATTTGAGCAAAACTGCCACTTATTTCCTGGTACATATTAGTAGTGTTATTTAAAGACGAACTTTAGTAGGCAGGATATGTTTCTACAGGCATGTCTGGTTTCCAATATTGACCTTGAGCAAGCCAATAAACATCATTAATTCAGCCCATTTTTGCTCCTGAGTTTATTTCCCTTGTGACAACTCTACGAACTAGAAAGAACTCAAAGTTTTTATACCCATCATCTTTCCTTTCAGAAAGCACTTGTTTTTGTTGGATTTTTGTTTTTGCTACAAAGCAACTGATACTGCTTATCCAGCTGCAGAACTCTTGGTGGTTTCACCCCACAGAGAGCACAAAGCATGCCACAGAATACCAAATTATTTGGGCTCATCAACAAAGGAATAGTTTATGGAGTCCCTGTACCCTCAGCGTTTGGGTGTAGGGCAAGCAACTGCCAAGACTAGAGCGAAGGAGAACAACATCAAAGCTCATGTGTTGCAGCGACATCCCATCAAGTGCAAAGTGGACGGTGATGTGTCAAAGATCATATTTGCACTGGGGTGGCAAGACATTATAAAAATGCAGAGCAAAACAGGTTTTTAAGGGGTTTGAACCAAGTGGAAATTGGCTTCCCTGATGTATTTTTTTTTTTTTACCTGTATCTGCTTGAAAGAGTGGAAACGGTTGCTGAGATTCCTGTTGTGTCCCAACCAAAGAGGTGTGTGCATTGCCAGTATTATCACACTCCCTGCATTGATGGAAAAGTTCCCTGTTTACACTAAAAGAACTGCAGAACATAATGCAGGAGTGGCTGTCATCACTGACCATTAACACTTTCCGCATAACGTGACATGGCAGAAGTACTGAGACGCCTTCGAATGTGTGTTTGCGTATGTGCTTTGACAGTCGTCATGCAGGTAAATGATGCAACTCCCTGAAACAAAAGGCTTCCTCATAACAAAAGGTGTACATGCATAGAGCTATAGATAGTACAGTGTGCTGGCAATATCACAGTGATAAAAGAGAGCCTTACGGCAGACGCCAAGCCCTTATTACAACAACTGTGGTCACAATAAGCCGACTGTAATACATCAGCCTCTGCATGCATAGCTTGTCTTACTTTCTAAGCTCTTCTTCTGGGAATCAAACAAATTCCTTCAGCAGTACCTGAAAGCATCATTTAGTCTCACTCTGATGCCTCTGTATTCTTTTTCTATGCGCTTGTAGCAAAAGTTCTTATCACTGTTTGACTTTTTCCCCCTTTCTCTTGTTACCTGGCTTTCTGGCTTTCTGTCTACAGCTGTGTTTTAGCATTTATCATTTTTCTCTTTTGTCTTTCAGAATAAAGTTATGACCATTGATGCTGTGAAGGTCAAACTGCAGGTAAGAATCCTAATCCACAATATCTGTCTTTAAAACGATAAAATCTTCTTTTTCTTCCCCCATTCCTGTCCAAACGTACGTGTGGGTCATTTTTTTAATAATAAATCTCCAGCAACTATTATCCATGGTGTAAAATACGTCTCCCATACATCTTCATTTCCTGCTGTGGGAGGGGCAAAAAGTGCAAATGATGACTTAATGGGGCCTTAGTTAATCTCTATCAGTCAATTAGCCTGCCGTTCTGCCTGACTGAAGACACAAGAGGGAATTGCAGACTTTCCATCAGATTATCAAGCCTGGAAGTTATCAACAAAAGACACAGACAGGCAGAGAGACCAATGACTCTTGGCCGTTCCAAAACCGCATTAGCTACTGTCTGATGGTTTTTTGCACCTCAATTACACAATGCTAACGCTCTCTCTCTTTATCTTTCTCATCTTTAATCCATCCACGTCCATCCATCTGTCTGTCTGTCAGATGGCATATTTCAGGTGATACTTCATGAATTAGTTTAATGAAACTTTACGTATCTTTAGACTAATTACATTATAGCATAAGTGGAAATGTGACTGCTGAGTTTAAGCTGCACTATTACCAAAATGTTTACGGCAGTAAAAAAAAATCAAGTCATTCAGTCAAATCTTTAAAACTTTTCAAAAATCCTGTAATATTGTTTTATGGTTGAGTCACACACGGGTAAAAACAGGATGATAGCCTCCATGAAACTAAGAAAAGTTGCTGGTTATCCATTAACTGCTCTGAATGTTTTTGCATTGGTAGCTTGGTAGTTGCACCAACTGGTCGCCCACAGGTTTAATGTGTAAGACCACAAACCTCGGGAAAAGTGTTTTTGATTGTAAGATGATTGCACAGGTTGCCTAACTGGGACTGACTGCAATCGCTCTCACACAGACTTACAAAGATTTGCAACTAATGTTTGATTTATAAATGCAGACAGATTGCCAGCATGTTGCAATTAGTCTGAGTCAGTCTGTGCTGATAAGCAATAACTGTACAACTTTCAAGCTCATTTAATATTAACATTGGGTCTTGTAGGTACAAGAACTCAATTATCCTTACACGTGTATAGCAGAAAGCAGTAAAACATCCACTTCTGACTCGCTGTAGACTACTTTCATTATAACGCACTCACCTATGATAAAACATCCTTATCTGCACTAGGATGTTTTATCATAGGAGTCATTTTAGCATATTCGGTTCTACTTTGGCTCATGTTCTTGATTTGACATGTCTCCGATGATGACTGGATCACCTGTAGAGACATATCTAAAATGTTTGATCTATATTAGTTGGTTTTTCTCATTAGTTAAAATTGACTGAATGGAGTAAATGGAATTGAAAAGATTAAAATGAAGGGAGAGTAAAATTAAAGAAGTATAAAGGTGAGAGCAAAACCAATTAATCACATGCTGGAGATTCATTCAAGAAAGTCCAAGCTGTTTTGGTGAGTGATAACACAAGTTACAACAGCAGGTACCAGAAAAGGAGAAATATGGGATAACATTAAAGAGTGAAGGCCGTTAATGATTTCTTCAGTACAAGGCAAGAATGGTAATGTTCAGAGGAGTTAAATTTGATAAACAGCATCCTCTATAAAACTTGAGTCAGTGGACTGTGACTATGTTACGTTCAGTAGAAACCTGAATATACAGGGCATCTGCATCTTTACTTGTTCCACATTCTGTTTTGTTACAGCCTTAGTCCAAAATAGATTACATTCATTTTAAATTCTTACAAATGTATTAAAAATAAAAACCAAAAATGTAATGTGTATATAAGATCCTGTTTATTGTTTTACGACAGCGAGACCTGGAGGGGCGTGATTGGGAAGAACGGCCCCCCTGATCTGAACCTGAGCGGTGCTTTGTTATTGGACTTCTGTGCAAATCACAATTTGGCCATAACGAACACCTTGTTCGAACATAAGAGTGTCCATAAGTGCACGTGGCACGAGGATGCTCTAGGCCGCAGGTCGATGATCGATTTTGTAATCATATCACCAGACCTGCGACCATATGTTCTGGACACTCGGGTAAAGAGAGGGGCTGAGCTGTCACCTGATCACCACCTGGTAGTGAGTTGGATCAGGTGGCGGGGGAGGACGCTGGACAGACCTGGTGCACCTAAATGCATAGTGAGGGTGTGCTGGGAATGCCTAGCGGAGGCCCTAGTCCGTGAGATCTTCAACACACACCTCCGGCAGAGTTTCAACAGCATTCCAAGGGAGACTGGGGACATTGAGTCTGAATGGACCATGTTCAGCATCTCCATTGCCGAAGCTGCTGCATTGAGCTGCAGCCGCAAGCCGGTTGGTGACTGTCGTGGTGGTAATCCCCGAACCAAATGGTGGACATCAGAGGTGAAGGGAGCCACCAGGCTGAAGAGGGAGTCCTATCGGACTTGGTTAGCCTGTGGGACTTCGGAGGCAGCTGATAGGTATCGACAGGCCAAGCGGAATGTGGCTCGGGCAGTGGCTGAAGCAAAAACTCGGGTGTGGGAGTAGTTCGGAGAGGTCATGGAAAAAGACTTTCGGACTGCCCCGAAGAGATTCTGGCAAACCGTCAGGCATCTCAGGAGGGGAAAGCGGTGCTCTACCTGCACTGTGTATAGTGCTGGCGGAGCGCCGCTGACTTCGACTGAGAAAATTGTCAGGCGGTGGAAGGAATACTTCGAGGACCTCCTTAATCCCACTGACACGTCTTCTGAGGAGGACGCAGAGTCTGGGGATGAGGATATATATATATATATATATACATACACACATGCTTGTAATCGCTTAGTTAGCCTTTTGGCTTTGTGTTCTACAAATTCCAACCTCCAGACTCAATGCAGAATTTGTCTTAACATAAAGATGCTGTTTTAAATTTAGTTGCTAAACTGCTAAGCTATTAATCTATCTATTTAGTTGTTCACTATGCCAACTGATGTTCTGTTCATCCTGCTCTTCCTTCCTCCCTTCTCTCTCAGATATGGGACACTGCTGGTCAGGAGCGTTTTCGGAGTGTCACTCACGCTTACTATCGTGATGCTCACGGTAGGATTCCTCAATTTGTGTTTGTGAGAACCTCTTTGGTTGTGACTGACATGCCTTCTCTCCACTCTCTATTTTCTCCTGACACAGCCAGACTGTTCTGACAGACATTTCATTGCCTTTGTTTTCTTCAAATGTGTTACTGGCACCAGCAGGCACGCTGCTCCCTGTTGTTCCCTCATACCTGTTGAGATTGCAAAAACATGCATGTTGCTTTGATAGACTGTGGTGAGTGTAGGTGTGCATGCGTGTGTGTGTGTGTGTGTGTGTGTGTGTGTGTGTGTGTGTGTGTGTGTGTGCATTTCCACCTGTATTTCTCACGTTGCCGGGACATGAACTTCCTTACTTCTTGGTACAAAAAGCAAGCCATTTTAACACAATTAATACACTTTGCCACTGAGTCTTGGTTCTGTAAGTATTGGCTGAGTATTGGTAAGTGATGGAATCACAATACTCTTAGTTTGTGCATGTGTGTGTGTGTGGGCACACGCATTTGCCAGAGGCTCAATGCTGTGTGCAGGTTCTTTTAAGCGAGAGGCTAACCACTGGGTGGGAAAATGAGCCTGCCTCTCACACAGTGGGGAATCGGAGGGGGGGGTATTGGGGAGCTCTGAGCTATTCCCACATGTGCTTGTGAGGGTGTATGTGTGTGTAGTAGTTATATCTCGAACAGCCCCGCTGAGTACTGATAACGGTTTGCCTCAGGCCAACCTGAATGAGCAGGTGTAGTCGAACACACACACACACACACACACACACACTTGCTGGCATTAACTGAAACGCGAAATCTGCTCAGCAGCATATAAAATAGCAAAATGATGGGACGTGGCTGAAAACGTGTACCCGATTGTGTCCGTTATGTATGGGTGTGCGCTTGGCTTTGATGAGGTTTGCATGTGTTATACATAAGTACGTGTGTGTGTGTGTGTATGATGGCCAGTTGCCCAGCATCATTCTGATCTGTCAGTGCAACAGTTTAGCCTCACTGATCTTTAACAAGGCACCAAGGGAACCTCAAACCAGCTCCTCTGAGTTGTCCGTCTGTTGCTGACTTTTAAATAAAGCTCATTCGCTCTGACAGACAGGACCAGGGGAGGGAATCCAGCCCAAATGCAGCCGTCACGAAAGCTGTCTACTACTGTGAACTAATGGACAGTTTTTCGTGACTCAGACTTTGAAATGTAGAGATCCCACAGTCAGGGGTCTCGTTTCCATTTCTGAGCACCGCCAGGTAAAAGTGAGGAAGTCCAAAGTGTGGAAATAGTAAACAGATTTAAGTCAGTAGTTTAAAATCTGCAATTTTAATTACAGTTAAAGTCTCACAGTCCTGTCAAGGAAGATAAAGTTTCACTGCTTATACTTCTTTATTATTTTCTTTTATCTCTACATGGATGATTAGCTGAGTGCATATGCTCTCTGTCAAGCTCATTACTGGTTACTGATTCGATGTCTTTGGAGCTCTTCACTATAGCCCGTGCTCTCTGTCACTGATCTGCTCCACCGCCATCTGCTGTATTGTGCACATAAGGTAGTATGCTGAAAAGTGTCTACATGAAAATGTCACGGCTTGCCAGATCAGACAACAGACTTCACACTGCTGGTTGTGTCGCTACACAACACACAATGAGTCATAACTCATCTCCCCTCCTGCTTGTATTTGTTGGTGACTGACACATAACCAACCTTGTGATACTTTACAAGGCACACTTGGTATAATAAGATAACAACGAAAACTTGACTGCAAAGATGGAAACCAGTCATACAAAGCAGGCAGTTGCACTTTATATTTGTATTTAATAGTGCTGTCAATAAATGAAAAACAAAACAAAACAAATTAAATTCACAGTTGTCTGTAATTAATCGCGATTAATCGCAATTACTTGATCCTGATTACTTGATTTTAACTGCATGCGCTAACTGCGTTAACTGCATTAAAAGTTTTAATTTCAATGCGGATTAATTTGCGTTAACTCATTTTTGGTTTAATTTAAGCAATAACTCACAGTTGGGAGAAGTTGCCCCTTTGCTAATGACTTTACCTAAATGCTATTTGGACTCAGTGTTTGTGAGGACCTTTAGAAGAAGCAGCGAAAAGTTTTGTACATTTTTTTGGGAGACAGTTTAAAGTTTTTTAGTTTTTAAATGTGACCAATGACTTGCCCAAGACAGCTCAGTAGTTGTTGGAGGGGAATGAAGCATGTCTCAGAGTACTACTATGCCCTCTAGACAACTATCGATGTTTGTCTTATTTAATTCTGGCCCCACTCTCACTTTTTATTGTGTCCATGAACAGAGAGCAAAGAAATTCAGACAATCAGTACAAATGAGCTGGTGGTTGGAGTGAGCCCAGTGCAATCTGCCAGGCCCATCTGGTGTAGAGGGTGACGTGAAGGTCCAGCTGGGTCCAGAAACCAGCCGCAGACTCTTTTTTTTCACCCCCTTCTCCCCCAGTGGAACTGACAGTTTGTCATTTCCGCAGCATGGAGCGAAACCACAGGGTACTAAAAAAGAAAAAAAAAGAAGAAAAGCAGACTTGGTGGTTGAGACAAGAAACAAGAGGAGGAAGGCAAGGAAAGGGAGGTATTGAGACATAAAATACTACCAGGGTGGTGTGGGGGGGCTGATGCAAGCATGACAGGGTGATATATTGAAAGATGCTTGGAAAGACAAATTAATTTCTCAAATCAAGAATGGAAACCAAGATGTCTAGAGGAGCAAAGCGGTCAGAACCATTTAACATTGCAAACAACCAGCTTTCATCACAAAAGGCAGCTGACAAAAATCAATTAACGTCAAAGCAGAAAGCAGTGTGAGTAAAAGACTATAATGAAACACTGTAGCACTTTCCTCAGAAGATTTCCTGCATGACAAAACGCCTCATTGCATCTGAACACAGGCGCAAAACAATTAAAACAGTAGAATAAAAGAAGAGTGGAGCTCACGATTTTGAAGTGACTGGTTTCATTTTAGCCACTTAGCATGCTGTTACTGAATGCAACTGGCATCTTTAGCGAACACAACTAAAACACAACACCATCACTACCTTTAACTGGGTGTACTCAGTCACTTTGTAACAAAATACCACGTCAGCAAATGGGAGACCTTTCAGCCCGAAATGAAACTCTTCCAAAGTCTTTCCCATTTTTATATCTCACATATAGAAGTAACACGATGAACTCAGTGAAACAGAATAATTGAGTTAATAGATTTAGAGGAACAGGTAATGGCTGCATTAGAGATGATGCCTCCAATGGGTGCTTTATGATTGAAAGGGTTGTTCAGGCAGTATTGTTCTGAATGAGGTGCTTTAGCTGCTTCATTTCCTTATAATGGCCTTCATTGCTTTTGTTACCCATGGTGTAAGGAAGCGGGGTTATGGCACATCTCAGTGAAATGCTCCACTCCATCATTATTGCTGCTATTCACATAGGTTTCTGTCTAAAATGCAATAATCTTTTCAGTCTTTCAGTGTCATCCAAGGTCTTAAATCCAATGTCACAAGTCTTGAAAATGATTAAATCATTACCATTAACATTACTATTGTCCTCTAAGTTGCATAAACTTCAGTCTTGTGTGTTTTTGGAGACAATGTGAATTGATTTTTGTGTTAACAGAGGTATAAAACAAAATCAACATGCATCGTAATATGACAGAAAAAAGACAACACTATGGAAGTAAATGTAGATGGTGTTAACGTTGGGGTCTGTTGATGTTACTACTTATAATACGAAGAAGTGGAGGTACAACCAGTTTTTTTTTAAACTGAAAAAGTAAGGCATTCAAAGTCAGTTGCACTTTGTAGAAGTTTGAGTACGCTTAATAACTCAAGTATTTAAGTTGGACAGGAAGTCAACAAACATAAAACAACTGATACCAGTGACCAGCAAGGACCTGCTATCACTCAGTATTGCTGTGTGGAACATCACCCAGCACAATCCACTGAACAAAATCATTCAAAAAGCTCATAGGCATTTCACTTATATTGAAAAAGAGAAAATCAATGCTAGAACATTCTAAGTGGCACAAAACCTTATGGGCCACTGTCACCCCTCATCATTACAGTTACTCAAATTGTATTATTAAAGTCTCTGTTGACTGAGCTCAATCAATAAGTAAATTGCTTTTATTACATTTATCAACCCAATGTGCATATCACGTGTGCCAGTTTTGTTTTGTTTTTCCCCCGATATGACTGTAAATACAAATGTTTGGGAACTCCCCCCTCTCCCTTTTCTATATATTTTCAGCTATTCAACAGATTATTCTCGAATTCTGATGCCCCAAAAGGCTGTTGGTATTTCTAGCAGAGGTCTTATTTGAGATGAACTAATTATTCTTTAAAGGGATGCTGTGATAATTAATTGAATGGAGTCATAAAAGTGACAGGCAAATCGCTGTTTAATGCATAAGTGTCTCAGTTAATTGGTCTACTTTAGAGGGTTTTGAGACTTAACTCCCAAGTGGGATGCAAAAAGGAGAGGCGTGATGTGCACATACTGCAGGAGGTGGAAAAACCAATGTCTGGCTTGCTTGTCAACATCATGACTGGTACTCATGGAGAAAATTAAGCTCCTAATATCCACTAGGTCATTGGCAAGACATTTTGTGTTCGGGGTTTAATATTCACCCCTTTTAAAGTAAATTTTCTCTATTTATGACCCACGAAATGAAAATATTTGAACAGAAAAAATGTAACCTCAAAATGTATTTGCCTTTGAAGTGTAATATCTTTTGGTTTTTTTGAAAATCAGCCTTTTTTTTTTTTTAGCACGTGGCTATAACACAACCCAATCCTAAGCGTAGATGGGTCACTAGATCACAGGAGCAAATCTACAGCAGAATGACTGAGAAGAAAAGAATGAAGGTGCTGCAATTAGAGACCTGAATCCCAGTAGTTCAATTCCTTGAACTGTTAGTCTGCTAGCTTAATGATTCTGCTTATCAGTACCACTTCCACTAGCAGTATAATCAGCTGATTTCTGTTCATGTGCCGGAGGAGGTAA